TTTTTGTTTTGTTTTGATCGAAATTGTGTACTTGCGAAATGGTTTTAAGTTCAAATTGTTAATAAATTGGTTGCGGAATAGTATGTTCGTGGATTAGTATAAGAAAAAAGATTGTGGTTTTATGCTTTCATTTTTGCTAGAAAAGACTTCGTACAGCATGGTGAATTCATTATTGTTAGTTAGATGTTACATTGCTTTGCATCTGTGCATCAAAACATTATTATGTCTTGGTCTGATCGAGTTTGATATATAAGTTGAATTTATATGGACCGTTTGCTACTTCTTGGTTTTTCCAGGAAATTATTTATGCCATTGATATGTATAATTTGATGAGGCACTGTTCTTGTTATTTCGGTTCAGACTAACAGTGTTATGTGTTAATGATTTGTTTCCTAAAAGCCATTTGTTTTAAATTGAAGCAACACTGTTTTGACGTATCTAGGTCTCGGATTCCGCAAGTGAAGAAAACGGAAAGACTTCCATTTGTGTACGTGAAAATAAAGCACGCCCTTGTCCAGCTTCCACTGAATGTTACAGGGCAGATAAATCTCAAGAGAATAATGAAATGAACTGTGTGAACTCTGGCATCAGCCTCAATGAGTGGGGCGAATCAAGCTTCACCAATAGCGTGTCTGAAGAAGGCAATACTTCTGCTGATTTCTCGTCTGGCTCATTGAACCCTCCCAGCCGATTCCTCTCCCGCTTCAGTTTCCATCCCGGGAACATAAGCTTCCGTCTCTCGAGAGGCAACAGCATAAGCTCGGCCAGGTCATATACCACATCTTCAGCGGGTTTCACAATTTCAAATGAACAAGAAGATTTGGCGGGCCCTTCGTGTAGTATGGCAGATAGGAGCAACAGGTCACGTGGTTGTGAATTTATTCCTGCTTGCTTTGCCAATAGATATCCTGGGACACCAGATGAGAACTGTGCATCTAACTCGAGTCCTGTTTTATCAGAGAGTTTCCACGATAATTTTAATAACCAACAGTTAAATTCTGGTGGTGATGTATTTAGGAGTGGAAATGATATGAGAGAAAATTGTGATTTGATATTTTCTCCTATAAATCCTATTAACTCGGATGGTGGTGGAACAAGACATGCTGAAAGAAGGATTTCCGTCCGGGAACCTGTAGACCGAAATGTACGGTTTAGTAGAACTTTAAGTGTGGGTAGGCTTCGTGACAGAGTCCTACGAAGAAATCCAACCGTCGATGTTGATTTGTATGATTTTCAGCAAGATAGGGAAGTTATACTAACTCGTCGACCTACTGAAAGAGAGGTTCTAGGCCATGTGGAAGTGGAATCAACATCTGATGGCAATAATAGTGTCAGTCAGCAAGCTTTGTCAGATAATGTATCATCTAGTTCTTCTAACCCTTTTTATGATGGTCAAAATAATGTCTATGGAACTCCACGAACTAGAGAGACCAGGTACCGTGATCTTCTTGAGCACAGGTCAAATTTTCTTGAGCGCAGGAGAAGAATAAGATCACAGGTACATTCATTCCTACGAGATTAATATTGTGTACGTTTTGGGGCTTGATTTGTCTTCTAAACAGCTTTGATATTCAAATGAATGTGATATGAGTTTATGTTTAGTTTTGTTAGTTAATGCAGAGCTTGTGTTAACCTCGAGTAACCTGTTATGCTAATCAACTTCCTTTTTAAAAATAAAATAAAAATAATGATCATTATGTAAATGAAATCAGTTCCTGATTTTTCTTCCTTCTTTTGTTCTCTCCTATCCTATTTTTAAATTAGACTAGTAATTGACAATCTAACTGAATCAAGAAAAAAATATCTGGCCTGCCTGGATTGTAAAAGTTTCTTTACAAATGGATCCAACTTCGAACTCCTTACTGAATGACCGCACTAGACTGGCAAGTGGTTTAGAGCCTTAAGCCACAGAGTTTCATCCTGAATATTGGATTCTTTGTTTCACTCGTGCAACATTTTGCCAATTATCCAGATACTGGGACCACATTCTGTATACTTCTACTACTCGTGCGTAGTGATTTATGCTGAAATTGGTGGGACAGAAATTAGATAGGTGCAGTACGACAGCTTCGTCTTTTTTCTTTATTCTTTCTTTAGTAAGTCAACTATAATGATGCTGATCAAAGTCTGCAGAGTGCCATACTCATTATCTTGTGCATAAGTAATTCAACTCTTTCGGTTCTCAGATATGTCTACCTCCTTCCAATTTTTTCATAAACATAATTACCAACAATTTAGAGAGAATCATCTTTGGCATTTTGTATAACAATCTACTAATAATGTGCTAGGTGCGTGCACTTCAGAGACTAGGCAGCCGTTTCGAGAATTTGTCTAGTCATGAGAGGTCTTGCATCCTATCTGGTCAGTACCGTGGAGGTCATTGCACCTGCCGAATTGCCACTCGGGATGGTAGTTCGAATGACGATGCTAATGCTAGGGCTAGCATATCGAGAATCGTCATGTTAGCCGAGGCCTTATTTGAGGTATTGTCAATTCATGTGTATTATTGCTTTCAGATCTTGGGGTGAAACCTTTTGCTTTTAATTTAATCAGGTCCTGGATGAAATTCACCAGCAATCTGTTGTTATATCCTCTCGGCCATCTGTTTCTTGCATTGGATCTGTTCCAGCACCTAATGAGGTGGTGGACTCTTTGCCGTTGAAGATATTTAGCAAATTGAAGAGGAAGCCATGTGACGAAACTGATCAGTGAGTAAAATTTTTCAAATTTATTGCTTGTGCTATAAAGTGAATCCACTTCGCTTTAGAAATAAAACCATATATAAACCGTTCATAAACTAATCACAAATCAACAAGTAATGCAATTTAGAGATCAATGAGAAAAATAAACCAGTAATCAAGCATTCATGAACCGTGAAAATTAGAATATTTGCAACTAAAATAGAAAACTCCGTAAATGTAAAAACAAAATGAGATTTAAGGGAAAATGGTGTAATTTTTTAATAACATTTGTAGGGCCCATAACAAAAGGTTTGGCTACAATTTTTGTTTGGTGAAAGCTATAGTTTAAATATTATCGAGAAAATATGAATCATAAACAATAATTATGAAAATTAAAAAAGGGCATATTGGGAAATACTCCGATATTTTACTTTCTTGACAACAGTGTTGACGTTTTATTAAATTGTGTGAAAAGTAAACAACGCCTACCTTTGTCGGACGAATGGGGTATTAATATTGAACAAGCAAATGTGTATTATGCTATATCTTGTATATTTACCCCCTTACTTAACAGATGCTACATATGCCTTGTTGAGTATGAAGATGGAGATAGTGTTAGAGTGCTTCCTTGCCAACATGAATTCCACAGAGCATGTGTTGACAAATGGCTCAAAGAAATTCACAGGTTTCTTTACTAAGCTTCATGATGCCATTTGATTTCCCTCAACCCTCTCCCCACATAAAGTTGTCTGAATTGAGAATTTTTTTATTTTTATTTTATTTTATTTTATTTGGGTAAGTGTTCAACTGGATAGTGTGTACTAATTATTATCATATTTCAGGGTATGCCCCCTTTGCAGAGGTGACATTTGCCGACCTGACTTATTAGCTGCGGCGTGTTGACGATGGCCGGTTTATTTATTATTGGTTCTCTTATATCATAGCCCATGATGACACAATGGCTTACTAGCTCGTTTTTACTGATGGCATTTCTTTATTTTCATTGTCTCTATATTTTGTTAAATTGGGCTTCACAAATGCGATAAATTTCTCCCGGCATGAAGTTTTGGTGTGAAAGCCGAGAAAAGCATGGACTTTTTAACCTTTTTTCGACATTCAAATGCTCTTTTTGGTGCTTGGTTGGTTTGCAGATGAATATTGTTGTAAAAATGTGTATCTTATTTGTGAGCTTTTATCATCAACGTTTCAGGCTCATCTCGTTTGGGGATGACAACTTCAAAGTGCTTTATTCTTTATTACACTATTGATAAATTTCCTTCTATTTGATTGTGAACTGTGGAAGGTTATGTGGAACAAACCAAGTCATGTACAACACTTTCAATGGAAAAAATCAGAGTGTAATATAATGTGTGTTACAACTTACACTACGAAATAAGGAACATATGTATAAAAATATTTTTTAAAAAAATAAATATAGAAATTTTATTTCAAATGTTTAATTATTTCTCTGAAATTGGAATATTAATTCTATATAAAATAATTTACAGTGGATTAAAATATTTTTGAATAAAATAAGATATACAATGTTGTGTGAGTGGTTTAAATAATAATTATTGACACATCATGTATTAAGATATTAGTATTATCTGTTGATTAATAGATAAAATTCACTTTTCGTTGTATTTGTAAAAGTTTTATACAAATTTAAATAGAAGCTTTTATTAAAATTTTAAAATATTCCTTTATATTGTACTATTATTTTTATTTAAAATGATACCCATTACATGAGTTCACGAAAATATAAGTATATTTTTAAAAAATATTTTGACATATTTTTTACAAAATAAAATAACATATATTTTCTTAATTTTTAATATTTTGACATAGTTTTTACAAAATAAAATAACATATATTTTCTTAATTTTTAGTTTCCAATTACGTCAAATGGTATTTCAAAATTTTGATTTGTGAGTATCCCATAATGTTATCCGTCGAGCATAAAAAATTCGTCTGAAGCAAAAAAAAAATAAAATTATATTTTCAGTTTTTTAAAATGATATTGAAGAGCATTATAATGTTATTCAGTAGATTTTAAATTAAATAATTAACCTTTTAGTAATTTTTATTTATTGATAATAAAATATTGTAGTGAATTGGGTCAACCTATCCAATGGTGTGACATTATAAAAAGTAATCTTTTTTTATTCCAACAAAAATCATCCTGTTATTTTATAAAATGAATGTAAATTGGAACCAACTAGTACTAATATTCATGTATAATATGGGTGTTGAGTTAACGCATATATGTGGAAAGGTATGTATGTCTAATACCAAACTTTACTCCAGAGAAAAAATAATATAAAAATAACATCACCAAGCATAGATTTTCGCCATGTCAGCATCCGAAGCGTGAGAATCTACCACTTAAACTCAACACATTTTGAATTAATATATAGAAAAGAATTACTAAAGAATATACACAGTCAAAGTAAAAGAATAATGCATATCGTATTTTATACCCGGTGCAATAGATAAAAGGCGATACAATTTAAATAAATAATAGTATTTTACTATTTTTTTTAATTTTTATTCAATACAGAATGCTATAGTGAATTGACTTCCTATGAAATAACACTTTTTTATGCCAACAAAATCATCGCTTTTTAATGATAATAATAATAATAATAATAATAATAATAATAATAATAATAATTATTATTATTATTATAATAATAATAATAATAAATAACGCAACTGAATTGTTATTCTATGAAACAAATGTATGTCTTAATAGCGTTATCCGTTGGCCATAAAATACACTCCATATCGTGCAATATACTATTTAAATTAAATAAATATCCTAAATTTGTGAAAACAAATAATTAAAAATATATTTTGACTATGGTATTGCTATTATTAATACTCAGGTGCATGCTTTCATAATCTACGGCCAAAACAATATAACTTTAGTCGCATAACACAAAAGTTTGCATTGCAATATAGATGGACCATGGGGTCTAACAAAACAAGTTATGAGGTCCAAGAGATAATGATGAAGCTATGGGTCGTGTTAATGTTTCAAAGAAAAAGATTTGAGTCACTTGACAAAAACATATGTTGCAATTAGAATATTTTTTTTTTTTGGTACAATGCAATTAGAATATTTCAAAGTATATTCGATCTATCTTACAAAAATATGTTAGAGATAATACTTCATGACGCCGAAGTATAGTCTCAATTCTTTCACCATAAATACATAATGGATACTATTTTCGAACTGTTAATTATTTTTCTACAATTTAGGGTAGTTGGGTTATTGGTTTGATTCGGGCTGTGAATATTTCTACGTTCGACAAGGACTTTGAAGAGAGTAAAGTAATTTTTAATGCTAAGTATTTTATAACCTAACCAATGCTTTAAGAATGATAATTATTTTATCTTCTAATAACGCTAAATTTTATGTAATTCTATGAATTAATATGGCTCGTGCATCGCATGAGTTATGAACTAGTAAAAATAGAGAGATTGTTACAATAAAAGTGAGATAACGAGCCTTAAAATATAGCATGGCGAAGTTGGGCGACGCAAATTTAAAACGTTTTAGGGCGTGCTTGGGTACAAATATCTCTGCTCAAAACGGATTTATTTTGTCAACCAAAGTTAATTTAGAAAAAAGTGTGGTTAGTTGTTAGTGAAAAAGTTTATATTAAAATAATATTTAAAATAAATAATAAAAAAGTAGGGATATGATGTGAAGTGATGGTTTGTTAAAATTATGTAAGCAAATTAATAGTGGATTAAAGTTGATATGAGGTTTAAGAGTGATTGATTAATATAATTTAATTATATTGATAATATGAGTCCAATGAAATTAGATTAAAGTTGAGTTAGACTTTGAGTATGAATTGAGTTTTTTAATAACCAAATAAACCTTCACATATTGTTGAACATTTTTTTTTTTTTTTTTGGTCCAAAGAAAAATATATTAATACCTGAAAACTAAAAATGAGTACACTCAATGTGTCAAATGACACAAATAGAACTAGAATTAAGTCTAGACCTACCCCCATTAGAATTACACAGGCAACCACGTAGGTACTTACACCCGCACAACAAAAAAATCTAGAAAGAAAACAAAACAACTCCATAAAGGAGACTAGGAACTAGACGAAACTGGACTGAAACTACACAGAACAACAAAATACAAAAACAACAATACACACTTAGGGGGGTGTATTCGTTTCGGAATTCAAGTGACATTTAAATACTTTTTAAGATTTCAGATTTTAGAAGAATCCTGTGAAATATCAAGTCTAGAGGTGAGATTTGTAATGGGATTTCATATATGTTTTTTTATTGAGAAATCCTAGAAAATCTTTAAAAGTCCTTACAAATCCTAATGCCAAATAATTTAAATACCCCATGATTTTGTAAGACTTTTTAAAATCCTAATTGAATACCTCAAGACTTTTAAAAGTCTTGAGAAGTCTAAATACACCAAGATTTCTAAAGTCCTAAAAAGTTTTTAAAAATCTTTATGAATTCCAATTAAATACACTCCCTTTAATAAACAATAGGATAAATCTCTCCTACACCATGCTAACACACCACACTGACGTCTGAACTGGCACACGAGCCACGCCCTTCAGCCCAAAATCCTAAGTAAGCTGCAAATTCGAACCCTGGAGCCAAAAACTGTGGACATTCGAGCCGCCTAGACAGATTTGGTGATGAGGCAATTCAAAGTCTAGATCTGGGCTCCTATAGACTTCAACGTTGGGGCAATAAAAATTTTAATAAATGTACCTAAGGCTGGGCGGGGCGCTATCGAAAAGATGAAGATGCAAAGGGTTAAGAGCGCCATGATCGAAAAAGGGAAGGGTAGAGCGGACGGCCGAAACACTCGGAGACTATGGACGGGACGACGACCCCGACCAAGACCAAGGGTAACCGGCACTGGGACTACCACCTCCAACCCACACCCGTGCGAGGCTTCGAAAGGGGCGGCAGAGAAGACCTCCAGCCCCAACCCGGCCATGGCCAAACCGACTGGGCTGGGGGGCTAATGGCATTTCTATATTACTAGGGTCCATCATCCCAAATAGGACTCTTTCGAGGGTGTAAATTGTAAATTGCAAATTGCTTGTCAACAAATGCTTTGACTCTGGTAGGAGAGAGAGAGGGGCTGGGTAGAGCTGGAGTGGAGTGAGAGTTGCAGCAAAAATGAACACCACCGGCAATAACACCATGAACCACCGCTTCTCCACCGCGGCACAGGACCTCGATCCACATCAATCACAGCATCCGCCTCCAATATCCACGTCCGCCCACCCCTACCACCCTCAACCCCAACCGCAGCCCCAACGCCGCCTCCGAGGCTTTGCAGCCACCAACTCCAACGCCAACACCACGGCCATCGGTGCGACTGAAACCAAGAGCAGGAAAGAGAGGGAAAAGGAAAAGGAGCGGACGAAGCTACGGGAGCGGCACCGAAGGGCCATCACGAGCCGGATAATCGCCGGTCTCCGGCAGTACGGGAACTTCCCCCTACCCTCGCGCGCCGACATGAATGACGTCATCGCCGCACTGGCTCGGGAGGCAGGCTGGACGGTGGATGCCGACGGGACCACCTACAGGCACTCCTTGCCTGCTCCGCCCCAGCCCCAGCCGCAGCTGCAGCAGCCTCCTGTCGCTCATTTCAATCTCCTCCAGAAAAATAACAGTATTAACGTGTCTAATGTGGTAAGTGATTCTCTGTGGATTGAGTTCAAGGTGGAATTTTGTTGGGTTTTCTTTCTCTCGTTCGTTCCTTATTTTTCCGGTGGTGTTTGTGATATGTTTTTCCTCTTCTATTTTAATATGAGGACCAGTGTGATCTTTTTAATGGTAGAATGTACTGGGTTGCTTGATTTTGGATTTTTGGATGGTGTTTGCTATGGCTTTACTTGGATTTACTTTTTTCTTGCATCTTGCTTGAGTGGTTTTGAGGCTTGTGTTTTTAGCTTGAAAAGCTCTTCATAGTGTGCATTATTACGAATATTATGATAAACACTAGCTGCTGGTGTGAAGCATATTGGGGCCAGTGGCTTAGATAGATGATTTTTTTATCACATTTTTCTTTCGTGCTTTGGATGTTCGAAACTATGAGATCGGGAGTTGATTATGACGGTCACAAAACATTGCCTTTCTACTTCCCAATTGTCAATGTTCTGTATATCAACTTCTACCTTTCGGTATGTCTTCACCAGTTTTGCACTATCAATATACATCTATTTTCTCCTGGTGCTTATCACTAAATTTCCTTGTAACAAAATATATAGTTCTAATGTCCATATTGAGTAATTGTAGTCTTGTGTTACATTGGAAGCCTTTGTTATGCCAAGTTCCTCATTACCATTAAAAACAATTTCATCTTCTGCTTGTGGTCTTACTGTAAGATGCTTAAACTGGACTTTTTAAGGGCTTTGAAATATTTACATATATTGAAATATTGTGTCCTTCTCGTTGTTGATGAGATGATAGGATGAATATATTTGCTTTTGGATAATATCATCTTGGGATGTTATTTGGTTGTTGAGGAATTATTGGTTAATGATCATGTGATTCTGAATAATTGTGGTGAACAAGTAGTTTTTAGCTCTTAGATTGTCATAGTTATAGAACTTTGTCCAGGTGGCAACATTCCGTCGCTTATCCCTATAACTTCTTATTTGAGCAGGGTCCACATCCAGTTCAGCCAGTAGAAAGCCCACTCTATACGAGCTCTTTAAAAAATTGTTCCACAAGGTCATCACTCGAGTGCCAGCCGTCATCTCTCAGAATCGACGAGGATCTATCACCCACATCTCTTGATTCCATTGTTGTGGAAAGGAATGCAAACCTCGATAAGTATTCAAGTCCCAGTGCCATCAACTCCATTGAGTGTCTGGAAACCGGCCAGGTAAAATGAACTTCATTTTTATTTTTTATTTTACTCTCTCTCTCTCTCTCTTTCTCTCTCTCCCTCCCTCTCCCTCTCTCTCTCCCTCTGTCCTGATAACTTGTTGGAAACATTCTTTGCTAATGTACATAATAAATAATTTGATTTTTACAGCTTATGCAAGATGTTAGCTGTAGGGAGCATGAAACTGGTCCTTCAACGTCCTATGTACCTGTTTACGCGAGGCTTACTGTGAGTGATAGATATCTTCTAAATTATTTCATTTCTGTATGTTTATTCTTGGTGTACAAAATAAATTTCTGTTTTCCCGTGCATTAAACTCTGGCAGACTGGTTTGATCAACAATTTCTGTCAGTTGATGGACCCCGAAGGTATTAAAGAAGAACTACATAATCTGAAGTCACTGTGTGTTGATGGCGTTGTTGTGGACTGTTGGTGGGGAGTTGTTGAGGCTTGGACACCAAAGAAGTACGAGTGGTCTGGATACAGAGAAATGTTTAACATTATCCGGGAGTTTGGGATGAAATTGCAGGTAATATGAAACTGGCATCGTGAATGCTTAAACCGTGTTTTTTTTTACAGTGCCCTTTACGTTTTTTGGTGAAAAAATCGTTATAGGGGATTTCTTAAAACAGTAGAAACTGTATTTTGTTTCCAATGTCTGTTTGTCTAAGAAGTTTGAAGTTTCTTTCTCGTCCTTAGGTGGTGATGGCATTTCACGAATACGGAGGACAAGATTGTGGTGGCATATTTATATCCCTACCCCAGTGGGTTCTGGAGATTGGGAAAAGCAATCAGGATATTTTCTTCACGGATCGTGAAAGAAGAAGAAATTCCGAGTGCCTTTCATGGGGCATTGATAAAGAACGAGTACTCAGAGGAAGGACTGGCATAGAAGTAATCAGTTATTTCTTTGTTGTTAGAGACTTAAGATCAAAATGCCCGTCCTCTCCACTTATGAGATATCGTTATCAAACAATAATTATGATGTTCCTCTTTCAAGAATTTTCGGAGAAGGCTTTCTTTGACTTGCGACTCTTCTCACACTCTTCTTTTTGTTAGTTTGGATATTGTCGTAAACATGTGATTTTGGCATGACCAATGTCTGTGTTTCTTTTTGGATAGTGGTTAATGTTGCTTGGTGTGGTGATGCATACAAATTTTGTATAATATCAGGTCTATTTTGATTTCATGAGAAGCTTCCGGATGGAATTTGACGACTTATTTACCCAAGGCCTCATTTCTGCCATTGAAATTGGACTGGGAGCTTCCGGAGAGCTCAAGTACCCTTCTTTTTCAGAAAGGATTGGATGGAGATATCCGGGTATTGGTGAGTTTCAGGTATTTGGGGAATATATTTTTTGTTCTATTATCATTAGGAGGGTAATGTTGGAATTTGGAATTAAAATGGTGAAAAAACTTCTAAATCTTGTCGTGATGTTCACGAGTTTTTTTCTCGGGTGGTTCTATAATTTCATTACCCTGAGTAGGATTTGACTGTTGTCGTTTCAGAAAATTTGTGGATTTTTTTTTTCTTGTTGTACAATCTTCAGATCTTTTTCTTCCTTCGTTCACATATTTATTTATTTTATTTTTTAAAACTCTTTCTAATGGTGCCATCCAATTTCATGTGGTCTCAACTCTTCAGTGTTATGATAAATATTTGTTGCAAAATCTCAAAAAAGCTGCAAAACTGCGCGGACACTCCTTCTGGGCCCGAGCCCCCGACAATGCTGGTTATTATAATTCGAAGCCGCACGAAACAGGATTCTTCTGCGAAAGAGGCGATTATGATAGCTATTATGGGCGTTTTTTCCTGCAGTGGTATTCCCGTGTCCTCATAGATCATGCTGATAATGTCCTCTCTCTTGCAAGCCTTGCATTTGAGGGAATGCAGATAGTTGTGAAGGTACTATCCCTCTGATTTTCCATCTGTTCTATCTATCTTTTTCTTAGGATAAATAACGTTGAAGTTGGAAAAAAAGAGTCAATATGGAGATCCAAGTCTGTTTAGTTATTTGATGGCATTGGAAAGAAAAAGTACCGAAACCAAGAGGAATGAAAGAAAAGAAAGGATTGAAGTTTTGTGGTAATCACGAATAAGGCCCGGACAAGATTTGAATTTACAGAAAACCCATCAAAGTTTTATCTCGTCTTACAATTTCTCAATGAATGATTTTGGAATTTGCTGATATCATCAAATGCCTTACATTTATATCACTCAATTTCTCTGAAGGTTGCAATTATCCCCCATCTTGTGTTATAATTTACGATCGCTACCCTGACTTTGCTAACCTTACAAAAGAGTTGGTGCTATTTGCAATATATAGAAATGCAGGTGACGCCATTGTGATATATATTTTGATGATTTTTATGATTCCGTCACATATATGTTGGAATTTATGTAATTATATCCCAAACTCATTGGGGCTTCTTGTAATTAATCAATCTTTGTTATAAGTTCATTTTTTTTTTTCTATTTGAATTTGAAGTAAAAAATAACTAAATATTGTGATGTATAGATTCCAACGGTTTACTGGTGGTACAAGACAAGAAGCCATGCAGCAGAACTCACGGCTGGCTATTACAACCCCTCTAATCGGGACGGTTATTCTGTCTTGTTTGAGGTGCTTAAAAAGCATGATGTGACTGTGAAATTCATGATCCCAGAATTAAAACCTTCATACGAGCCAATGGACGACCCACTATCAGACCCTCAAGGCCTGAGTTGGCAGGTTAGTAAGGAATAGCATTGCTCTTCTTAATTTTACTGGTTATTTTTTTTTAATTTTTTTACTTTCAAAAGCTGTATATGATTTAGATAAAGAGAAGGAAAAAGAACCCCAATAATTGTTTCTGAAAATAGCAATAAAAATGTGCAGGTTATTAACTCAGCTTGGGAAAAGGGGCTGAGTGTGGCTGGTGAGAATGCAGAAGCTTGTTATGAGAAAGAAGGGTTTACGAGGCTGGTCAAGACCTCAAGACCGAGAAAGCATCCGGATTGCCGACACTTGTCCTTCTTTGTGTTTCAACAGCCTTTGCCTCTGCTCCAGAGATCTATTTGCTTCTCGGAAATCGATTACTTCATTAAAAGCATGCACGGTAAGCTTTCTTTGATGACCTGAATTGACCATTTTGGTGGGGCTTCTTGTATATTTTTCATCTAATAAGTTTCTGTCTTTTCTTTTTCGGTTATCTCCATTAAATGCAGGAGATGAGATTGACTGAGAGAGAGGGAGGGAGGGGGGGAGTATGTAATGTAATGAAATGAACAGGAAAGGTTCAATTTACAGAAGATTCTGTGATCTCTATTATTTAATAGCAGTCGTTATGATACTGCAAAAACAAACCGAGAGCACAACAAATGGAATGTTTTTATTTCGATTGCGTTTTCTATTTTTTCAGTAAATGAAAAGGATATTGGCCTTCGATGACTCTCTAAAGTCAGTACCATAACTCATTACAATCGGATCAAGACCTTTTAACAATTTCAGAGGCACAAAAATCACGATTAAACTTATCTATCTTCGAGAATCACAGTATTGAGGGAATTCACACTGGCAAGGGCCTTTCAGTACCTACATCACAAAATAACAAAAAAAAAAAAAGTTAAAATGCATAAACAAAACAAAATGAACAGAGCATCTTCCTCTCACAAAATATGTATACTTAAACTCAAGAAGAAAAGAAAATCTGTGGCACTATTGCCTGCATATAATCTACGGACAATGGTAGCAAAGCTATATCGTGATACTCAAGTGTGCTAAATTCTGAATTTGACATGATAAGTCAAGTAAACTCGACTTTGAATTGATAATTGAGAATCTAAAAGAACACATGCACACAAAGAATGAAAGAAAGAAAGAAGAAGAAGATGAAGAGAAAGGCTTGTACCTTGCGTAATGTGAAGGACACTCTTCTTGAACCCCTCCGTATCAAAGTGTCCTCCACTTTATCCACCTGCATCACATACATTTCTCACTAAAAATCACCAAAAATTGAATTCCAAAAGAAAAACGTTACATAAGAGATCACCTGAAAAAACAATACCTCTTCAAAAGCAAAACAAAGAGATCACCAAATACATAAGAGTGGAAAATTTTGTACCTTGTGGTGTGGAATATAGTGATGCCAAGCGTACCGGGCCTCGCCAGATAGCAACAACATCGATCGAGGAGGGAGATAAATAGCTTTTCTAATGAAATATGAATCTTTTTCTTTCTTTGCATCAGGACTAGAAACGGGCTTTTCATGCCAAGCACCGGTTGTGTACTTTCTGAACTCCATGATGCAAGGGCCCGCTAGTGAGAGACTGAAAATTAATCCTTCGAATGCTGAGTGGGTATCTATGTGGGGGGACAAACCCACGCCGGGTGCATACTCATTAACCTGTCATTAGAATTTAGATATAGGTACATAGAAGAGAGAGAGAGAGAGAGAGAGAGAGAGAGAGAGAGAGAGAGAGAGAGAGAGAAATCAGGATGAATTGTTAGAATGATTTTTTTTATTTTATTTTTTGGGAAAAAAAAGAATAAAATTATAAAGAGATACAGAAATCAGGATAACTAGAATGCAGATAGTTATGGTTTGAAGTATTTAGAATATAAGGACTTGCCGTAAGTTGATCCAAAGATATATCTCCAGCATGATCAAGTGGTTGAAATGATTTGATCCTTTGGAGTACCGGAGACAAGAATGATGGAAGCTCACCCATGTATTGGTTCGTGTTAACATTCCTTATCTGCAAGAGATGAGAGAGAGAGAGATAAAGAAAGAGATAGAGAGAGGGATCAGAAGGTTAATTCTAATATGGTCATAAATTGTTAGAAACCCAGTGGCAAAAATTATAAAATCAAATTTAAAGACTGATTAGATTAAACCACGTTAACAACTAATATACAGAGAACAAAAAAATTATAAACCATAATAGAAGGATTTATGAGCAAGATTGGTTTCCTCTTTCATTGTTTCTTATGACTTACATCATAGCAAAATGCATATCCGTAATGTTGAACTCTTCTTTTGGCAAGGTGTTGCCACGGCCTAACATCCACTGCAGCAAGCAATTCCTAGGGGGAAAAAAGGTTGATGACGCATGCATACTCGGAAAATACATCTTAAAATGGAAATTTGTTTGGACCAATGTATAAACTTCAAAATATGATCCTTAACTTGCTCTTCCTTATCAGTGACAAAGTCATGAACCAAGTGAAGTCCAGGGATGTCCAAGTCTGAAGCTGATGTTGATACTGAAACTGACTCAATGTTGTTGACCTTGTCGACCAATAAAGATATGAAAGAAATTTAGCACAACGTAATCGTAATGGAGAACAGATGAATCTTTGTACGACAAGGAAGGAACGAATTCATTATAGATAGTAAATTCCAAAATAATCTATTAGTTATCATCATCAATATTTACTCGTAACTAAGAAAAAAAAAACATAAAGTAAACAGAAGCCCTTTAGGGTTAAGATTTGATTATTGAACTAATTTATTCATGATAACCAGATGAACATATTTCATTAGGGGACGAGAACTTACAATTAATATAACTAAGCAAGCATTGAATAAACAGCACTAAAATTCTTCTGCTTAACAATCACTATGAAACAATTAAAGCACTCTCGCTCGAAATGGTACAGAATGACTAGAAGCATTGTGGTCAACAAGGTCCTACATGATTTCACATTTAAATATCACAAGAAAAAAGCCATTCCACAAATAATAAAAATTTATAGGTAATGAAAAAAACGAGTACCTTACCAAATGACTGCATTGAATACTGAATGTGTAAAGAACGTCCCCCAAGAGCAGAGCACAGACGTCCATTGAGTGCCTTCATGGCAGCTCGGGAACTACTCGTGTCGTGGTACGAGACGATCACACGGGTCCCACTTCCATCAGCAGCGCAGACTCCCTTGACTTCTCCATATGCAGCAAACACGGAGGCAATAGCATCGTACGAAAGGCCGACAGTGGGCCCACAGTTAGCCACATAAAGGTGAGGACTTGTTTCATCATCCCCTCTATCGGGACCGGCGAGTCTTTGGAAACCCATTGTCGAGTTCTTGCAACATGAAAGGACACAACAAAATGACCATTGAAAGTTTTAAATTTTGTTCACTAAAATCTAGGTCCCAAGCAGATCCACTCTTCCTATCAAGCAAAGAAAAGCTTGATAATTTGACATTAAACTGTCCATTTTCATAAGCTTATAAAGAAGAATCTGCACAAAGACAATGTATTTTTTTCTTTCCGCAAAACAATTGAATCTCATAAAGAAAAGTGGGCTGCTTGATGTTGAGCTAAATCAACGCCATAACTGAAAATTACACGGTTACAGCGTATCGAGAGCACCATTAATTAAAACCCATAAAAGCAATGACCTTTTGTTCATTCTTAAGAAAGAACTAATCGAGAGTCGAATTAACAAAGATAGTTCTACACGTACCTGAATGAGATTGTTCTTATTTGATTTTCTCCCCTTCCGAATTCAGAGCCAATTGAGAATCAGATGAATAAAAATTTGCCAATTATCAACATGAATCACAAAAATCAATTTTGTACTTTCTTATAATAAATATGAATGAAAATACTGCAGATATTAATAAATTTATTTAAGTAATTATTTGATCATATGCTATTTGATCTTATTTGAAAACGTGTTAATAGAAATAGTTAATGCATACATTTAAAAAAATAAAAATAAAAAATAGTATGCATTAAATTTCCTAAATTTTTGCTACTATTTTTAGTAAATGACAATTCTTTTTATATATAGATATATAGATTCTATTTTTTCAACTTTTGTCATATAAAGTTTCAAAAATTGATAAATCAACACAAACTAAATTGACAATTCAGTTGGGAGACATTAAAACTCAAAAATGGCACTAAGCGTTTCCGATCAATGATGATTTTTATATTAAACTAAAAATAATAGATGTTTTTTTATGATACAGTAAAAAAAAGGTACCATTTATCGATTTTTATAATTTGATCAATATTAATTTGTCAGCAAAAAATATAAACGGCACATGTCCATAATAAAATAACTTTTTTTTTTTTTTTTCAGTGATCAATATATCACGATTTTCAGTTGAGAAGTGTTATTGAAAAACATGAAAACTTCTAACGAAGTAGGCCTTCTGATGATCCAAGATCGAATTTTGGTTAGTAACCCCAAAGATAGCTCGATATTTGTCAAACTATTTTTTTTTTTTTTTTTTTGGTACAGGGATTTTCCGGTTTCCGGATTCACAGGGGAACCGACTAATCCGGAATCGAGTTGGGTAGGACCACAAGGGCGGCAAAGCTATCCCTCAAGAGTTTTAACACTGCTGCATTCTCAGGGCTCGAACACGAGACCACTGGTTAAGTTGGAAGAGACTTAAACCATCTCATCCAAACGCTATTGGATATATTTGTCAAACTATTTGATTGCTAACCAATATGAAATTGTTGGATTTTGGAAAGCTCTACCTATAGCAACACGACCATTTGAAGTAATATGACATTTGAAAACAATAACTCAGGGAAGCATTTGAAATAAATATTGTACACGCGCAACACTTAACAAAATTTTATGAATTTACTAAAATTGATGCAGCGCGTGGTAGACAAAAGGGAGAATTGTTCTTGAAGAACTCAAGAAACCAGAAGAATATAAATCTTTATTTCAATAAAAACTGCGTAAAAGGTTCTGATAGGAGTACAATATATAGGGAAACCCCAAGACTCCTAATTATTATTCCTATTATTTATCTTGTTAGGCAAGACAAATAATAATCCTAAATAACATGCAATAAAGATAATATACTAAATAATAAATAGATAACTAAATATGAAGCCTCTCGTATTTTTCCATATAAGCGAATGCGGCTTCATCTGCATCATTCCCCCCCGGTTGGGAAGGATTCGCCCTTGAATCCGAGGGGGCTTCATC